TTTTTCTTCAAATCCACGTACTTTTATTCTAGTTTGCGTACTTTTTCTAATTGATGTTTTTTTTCCAAATAACTATGCGGGTTTGGAAAAGTAAGTGAATTTATATCAATATAAAAAGACCCAAAGGGGTAGATCCAATTAATCTCAGCTATCAAATCATGTCAATTCAACGACCTAGACTGCTTCAATGTCAAACGCTCAACACGTTCAGCGTGCAGTTAATTTCATGCCAAATATAATGCTAATCACATGATAACACGTAAATAATATCCACATGGACTTAATATACTTCTAAATTAACGTGCATTGCACGTACGCATTGACTAGTTTGAAAAAAAAACACACGAACTTGAAAAAAGTACACGGATTTTAAAAAGTACATGAATTTGAGTCAACACGGTCAAAACTGGGGTGAGTCAGCGCCAAAACCGGTCAAAATCTAGTCCAAGGGCGAACCTTGTCCGGTTTCAGTAGTTGGGGGTGCAAGTTGTTCGATTTTGATGTTGAAGGAACAAATCTAGACTACGCCAAGAGTTGGGGGACGGAAAGTATACTTTTCTCTAGAGTATTCTAGACAAAACGTGTGGCAAAAGAAAAACATGGCACAAACCTAGCAACAAACTGCGAGTTCTTTTTGCTCCGTGCAGAGACACGCTCATATTACTAGAGATGGTCACTGCAGTGTCAAACTTGTCTTGACACGTCCACTTCATGATATATCCAATGAAGGTGCCACATGATCCTAGAGTAGCAATATGAAAACTCCGGATCTGGCAATCCGACGGTTCTATGACCTGGAGCCCCTCAACCTGAAACCGAAAGCGACCTTGACAGAGCATACCCACACAGGTTCTTAGCGACAATCCTGTTACGATGTTAACACTTAACAGCACACTCACACATTTCGAAAAAGAAAAAACAGCACACCCACACTGTTTAGCACCCTCTAAGAACATTCTGCGTAACAACTTTTGCAATTTGTTAAATTATTAGGTCCATATATCACATCTCCACCATGGAAAAACATCATGAAAGAAGCCTGGTTAACTGAAGATTATAGTGATAATTTTGGTAGTACGTAGACACGTTAATTTGATGCATTCATAGCGATGGTTTGAAGAGGTGATTGGTTCACCGATCCAAAGGTGGTCGCCCAAAACAGTCACATACTGATCCCCAATGAAGGTCGTATATTGTTCCTACAGTACAGCAGTGTGGAGCATGATGCAGGTGGTTAGCGGCGACAATCCTGTTACGATGGTTAACGGCACGCCTCAAAGAACTTGTGCCTAACATCTTTTTTTTTTTTTTTTTGCAGGTTGTGCCTAACAACTAGGTGTGAGGAGGAGGAGGTTAGCCTTGATGGTCAGGTGGTACCTCGGAAGGACACCTTTCGGTATTTGGGGTCAATGCTGCAGGAGGATGGGGGTATTGATGAAGATGTGAACCATCGGATCAAAGCCGGATGGATGAAGTGGCGCCAAGCTTCTGGCATTCTCTGTGACAAGAGAGTGCCACAAAAGCTAAAAGGCAAGTTCTACAGCACGGCGGTTCGACCCGCAATGTTGTATGGCGCTGAGTGTTGGCCGACTAAAAGGCGACATGTTCAACAGTTAGGTGTGGCGGAGATGCGTATGTTGAGATGGATGTGTGGCCACACGAGGAAGGATCGAGTCCGGAATGATGATATACGAGATAGAGTTGGGGTAGCACCAATTGAAGAGAAGCTTGTCCAACATCGTCTGAGATGGTTTGGGCATATCCAGCGCAGGCCTCCAGAAGCTCCAGTGCATAGCGGATGGCTAAAGCGTGCGGAGAATGTCAAGAGAGTGCGGGGTAGACCGAATTTGACATGGGAGGAGTCCGTTAAGAGAGACCTGAAGGATTGGGGTATCACCGAAGAGCTAGCTATGGACAGGGGTGCATGGAAGCTTGCTATCCATGTGCCAGAGCCATGAGCTGGTTGCGAGATCTTATGGGTTTCACCTCTAGCCTACCCCAACTTGCTTGGGACTAAAGGCTTTGTTGTTGTTGTTGTTGTTGTTGTTGTTGTTGTTGTGCCTAACATCTTTCGGAATTTGTTGAGCAGTGCGTATCACTCATACCCTCGTCTTAAGGGGGGCCTGACAGCCGATCCTCCCTTATTGGGCTCAGCAGCTTGTCAACGGTCAGAAGGGGAAGAGAACGGAGACCAAGTGCAGCAGCCCGAATCTAACTGCATACACATGTGCTTGGAATTAGAAGGGCGTGTGATCCTCAGGTTTACCCTGGCGAGCAAATGGGGCATCCTACGCAAGGGCCTCGCCAGCAGAACCAACTTTTGGCGCCTACTTTCTCATAAAGCGGCGCGCACTAACACGGCACGGAATCTTGTGTCAGATCGAAATCAATCTAACCAGAGTGTACAAAGGCGGATGCATGGTGGCGACAAGAATGACCGCAAAAATGAATAGAAAGATTGACCGCACATTGGAGTATAAAATTCCATAATTTGATCAAGATTCTAGCCTAAAATTTAAATCTCATTTTAGTAAGCTTTATGTAAAAAAAATTGAATTTGCATCAAATTTCATTTTAGTAAGTTTTATTTTTTATGTAGTAGTTTGAACCTAATTTAGCACCGAATTTGTGTTGATGCACCTTTCGGAATTTTTTTTGCTCCGTCAAGTTTTTGGGGTTCGGTTAGAAACAGCATTTTTTAGAGGAGCAAATGTGCTCCTCAAAAGTATCCTCGGTCATTTACTTCTTGAAATTTAGGAGATCGGTTAGAGTTGCTCTTACTAAATGTCATGTCAATTGTTGTGGGTTCACAACATAAGTTAAGAACGACTTCTCCAGCAACCCTTTGGCACGTCGTTTCCAACCCTAGTCATCGTCGCCTAGGCTCTTCTCCATGCCGCTGCTTTGGTCTCCCTCCTCTCATCCATTCAGCAGCCTCGTCGGCCGCAAGAGGAGTGGTGACATGTCCATTTCTCCTCTTAGGCTTTGGTTTTCTTTGGCGGCATCAACAAGGTGGTGGTGATGATGGCATGTTTCAATAAGGTTTCTTCGGTCTCTCCTACCTCGACGACACCCAATCCGGCGCATCTTTGGGTGTCTTTCAAACAAACAAACAAACAAACAAACAAACAAAAATGATGCGGGCTGAATGGCAAAGATGGATACTGACTTTGTAAGGACACACAAATTCCATGTTCCAAGTACCACGATGCCTGAGTTCTAAACGGAAGTTGGAAACTGTTTGTTGCTTGACCAAAGATGGTGGGCGACTCAACATCCTGGAGATTTCTGGTACACAACCTAAAGCTAATGTCCTTAATTCTCAACACAGCGCTGTCCACGATTGCAACCTCACCTGTCAAACCGCGAGAAAAAGAACGTCACGAATCAACCCGAAAATGCAAGATACAATTAATCAAAATCAGGTTTGACAGGCTTCACTGCAAGCAAACATAAATTCGGGAGGCCGAACTAGCTCTTGTGGATGTAGTGGTGGAAACCATAAATTTCAGTTTTCATACAGTTAGCTATCTCTAGTTAACTGGACTAGTCTAGGTTTACTAAGATATCCAACCATGGGATATGTCAAGAAACTTCAATTGGTGAGCTGGTTAATACTCCCTCCGTTCCTAAATATTTGTCTTTCTAGAGATTTCAAATGGTCACCATATACGGATGTATATAGACATATTTTAGAGTGTAGATTCACTCATTTTGCTCTGTATGTAGACACCATTTAAAACCTCTAAAAAGACAAATATTTAGGAACGGAGGGAGTAGGTTTTACTAGTATTCATGTAGTTTTTACTGGAGTATATCACATTGCACTATGGACCAACAGCTTTGCTGTCAAGATCCAACAGTGGCCTTCGTTTAATATCATGGGTCACAGGGAATAATGTGCTATGGCAACACGGCAGCAGCCATATTAATAATGGTACGACAGTATTAATAAGGTCTTTAAAGAAAGCCATCAACAAACTGGAGTTGTTATTGCTAGGGGGTTGATGTTGGTTAGCACAAACTTGCGCGGCCCATTACTGCATACTGTGCACGTGATCAATGGTACTAATGTATGATAATCTTATGAGGACCAGTTTTATTCTAGCAAACCTCGAAAAATACTTGAGAAAAACGATTTCATGCTAAATGATTCTGTTAATTTTTCAGCAAAAAAGGGAAACGGAAAACTTGGTCAGATCTCCAAACATAAAATATTCCTCCAATGACATGACTAACTTGGCCTAATATGAGGTTCGAGTGATCAATTTATGGTATTCTTTAAGCCTTCTTGGCCACTAGACAGAGTGAGAACTTGTCAGCTTGCTTTCTTCCCCTAAAACACACTTGGTAGATACCAGTAGGCACAGATTCACTAGGAGCTCATCAAACTTTACTTGTAGAGTGAGATATGTGCTCATTATGGCTCATTTAAGCCATCTTTCTCTCGGCATCGGTTAACGACATGCCTCGAGGTTGCAAACAATGTCCATAAAGCTAGGTTCGGTATTGGTATCAACAAAGTCCATCATTCGATTGAAGTGATGGAGTGGTAACTGCGAGGTTCATGTATTTCTTATGTGGCATTAGTTCCTACAGTATTCATTATTTAGATAGATGGGTGGAACAAGCTTCCCGGTACATTGTAATTCTATATGAAGCAGAAGACCTAGTCCACAGAAGACCTAGCGACAATGATGCCAACAAGAAAAGGCGGAATAATATCATTAAAAATGAAAAATATGACAGTTTGTAACAAGAAAGATCATTTCATACAAAACAACAAAAATAAACAAAGCCAATGAACAAAAAATCCAGAGAGCATGAAATTGTAGCGAAGATGTTCAAATATTACTGGGTGTAACATTGCCATACTCGATATGAGATTAACTTTCAAGGGATTAAGTTTAGTCATATCTGCAGAGAAGCAAACAAGGCGGCACACACACATTTGTGCACGCTATTCCCTAAACTGAGCATCCCTGTATTATGCTTTGATGCTATCCCTGGTTTTCAGAATGAGATTTTGTTCATTCAGAAACTGGTTTGCCTTTGGAGTAAAAATCGCTGAAGGTGAGGTTCAAAAAGATAGATGAGATTGACTTACTAGGTTAGTCAGTCTAGAAAATAGACATATCAGGTGGTGGTCCATAAATTGATTTCCATGACAAGGGAATAGTCCATCCATTTGACCCATTTCCTGTAAATTCATAGAAACACTCGTTTACACAGAAAACTCAACTATTCACTTTAATCACAGAATACCGAGGACTGGCTTTCCTAAAACAGTATTGTAAACCGATAAAAAGGGAGCACTGTAAACCAGAGCAGTCGTTGCAAGAGAAGTTGGTCACTTTGAGACAAATGAATAAACATGACTATATTTTGTAATTAGTGGGTTCACTCCAGAGTAAGAAGGGGATAAGTGTTCGAGGTGATATAGAGATATATACCGTGGAACTGTTCAGGGTCTTGACCTAGAAGTTTGCATACTGCCTCTGCCAAGTGAAAAGATTCTGGCATATTGTCCCCTTCTGAACAGTAGCATAACACACAGCTAACTTTCAAACCTTTGGCCTATCATAACATAGGGAGATGTTAAAAGAGCAAGTTCAAATGACAAAATACTTTAGAGTTGAGATAAAATCAGATACCTTGCAGGCGAAGAATAGAGCTGCAAATGGCAAGGTCGCATAGTAATCACTTATGGTCATCTCTTCAGGATCATCAGCCATGTCTTCTAAAAGAACACCGCCCTCAACTAGACTAGCAAGACATTTCCACAGTCGTTGAGATGGATCATATTCCTCAAGTTTCTTCCACCCTAGTTTCTCACATTCTGGATCAGAACCATCTTCATTGCAACTTGAAAGGTAATACAGCATATCACTGCATGATGAAACGTGTTAATGGCCCAATCTTGAAAGAACATCCAAATCCAAAATATGGAATCTGTGTAGCAAGACATTTCAAATACCTGGATGCATCAATTACTCTTCTCTTGCCAGAGTCTAAACTTGAAAGGATAACAACATGGTCCTTCCCAATGCTACTGATGAAATTAGCAACATTTTTTGCAAACGAAACCATCATCCCCTGCATTTGTAATGATAAATCAAAGTGGTCGTATTATATTCACCGGTTAGATACTGCTACAGATTCGTAAATTATAGGAAGATGGCAGCATGCGCCAACACAGGTAAGATCAACATACTGTAATAATTGGAGATCTTTGTTGAATGAAAGCCAGCCCATGAGACATTGATTCATACTCTGCACGCAAAAATGAGAAAGCAGGTGAGCCTGCATGACGTGCCAGTATTTCAGTAACTAACTTGGTAGAGACATATTCCAAAACCAGCTCATATTTGTGTATTTATCATTTACCTCTCCCTCCCTACCTGCCTCGAACAAACAATCTATGTCATCAAACAATTGATGTGCATAGCAGATGCAGACATACAGTATGCACAGCACTGCGGCCTCTTCTTATCAAAACTTATTTGGTCCTGCTAATAACAATTTAAACATTTCTATTGACCTTGATACACCTGTTGTTCTTAATGATATAGATAGGACCTTGCTTAGTAGAGGATTTCACATTAGAAGAGATTAGAATAGCAGTTTTTCAAATGAAAGACAATAAACCACCTGGGCCAGATGGTTTTCCTGCTGAATTTTGTTAGCATTATTGGCACTTACTCCCTCCGTTCGGAGATAACTGATGTAGTTTTAGTTCAAATTTGAAGTAAAACCACGTCAGTTATTTCCGAACGGAGGGAATAGTTGGTAATGCTTTATTATTCATGTTTAATGAGTTTTATCATGGAAGGTTTGGACTTGCCAAATTTAATTATAAAGTTTTGACTTTATTGCCAAAGAGTGTTGGAGCTGACACTATTCAACAATACATACCTATATGCTTATCCGATGTTCTGTTTAAGATTTTTACAAAAGTAGTGAATAATGGAGCTGTAGATGTTGCTGAGAAAATAATTGCTCCAGTACAGACAGCTTTTATTGAGGATAGGTTCATTTTAGATGATGTAAGTATACTGCATGAGGTTTTACATGAAATTCATAGAAGAGAATCATATAGTAGCTATTTTAGTGGATTTTGTAAAAGCTTATGACAAAAATTAACTGATCTTTTTTTAGGTTTGTACTGGTTAAGAGAGGGTTCCTGAGAAATATATAGAATAGGTTATGCAAACCATAAATAGCGGCAAAGTAGCTGTTATGGTTAATGACCAAATAGGACCTCTTTTTGTAACTTAATGATCGTACCCAAATAATTGTACAGAATTCCTACTGGGTGTCATAGTAGGCTGAATTGCAGAGAGGAAGAAACAAACAAGTATTACAATCTGCAGCACTGATGCTTTCTGAGGTGGCCATGGAGTTCTACAATCGAGGCAGAGACTGGGGAATAACAACTCTCAGGATTGGCGTGGGATGATCCTAAAGATGATGGACGCGTGGGCCTCGTTTTGCAGATCTATGCTACGTTTCACATGATCGGTAGTTACCTTTGGAGTTGTTATTTTGCCGTCCTGTAATGTTGATGTTCGGATGGTTCGATTCTGTTTCTTGAGAAGTTAAAACTTAGTGCTTTGTAATACCGTAATTTGCTCGATGGGGTATAGCCCTGGAGCCGGATAGGTGACCAATGGCAGCACCCAGAGTGTTCCGTGTGTCTGTAAGTTCTAAACTGCTGTTGTCTTACGGTTTTTTCAAATGGAAATCGGGAGCGAACAGCTCCATAATTCAAAAAAAAAAACTGTGGCAGGCATAGCAGACAGTGTACACGCAGCACCGTCACACCGAAACGCGGTTAATCAAACAGTGGCAGGCATAGCAAACAAAGTACACATGCAACGTCGTAACCGTGTTTCATCAAACAGCAGCGTGCATAGCAGACAGAGTACACGCAGCACCGCATTTCATCAAACAGCAGCGTGCATAGCAGACAGAGCACACGCAGCACCGCATTTCGTCAAACAGATGGTATGCACAAAATAAAGGACAACGGTGCACGCAGCAACTAAATAGCAGCAACTAAATAGCAGCACCACTAACACAATCCATCAAACAATCGGCGAGCACGGCACAGGAGGGCAAAGTTTTCGGGGTTCTAGAGGCCCAACCTTCGAGCGCGAGCGCGAGGTCGCCCGCGGCGTCCGGTCCGAAGGCGTCGTTGCCGATGCAGGGCAGCACGGAGGGCTCGTCGAGGTACGCCACGCGCCTCGCCTTCGCCGACGGAATCAGCAGGTCCACGGCGAGCTGCCCCACGTTGCCGATCGAAAGCGCGGGCTGCACGCGGCCAGGAGAGCGGATCAGCAACGTAAGAAAGCAGAAGGAAGGAGACACCAGTACCAAAGATGGATGTCAGCAGAAATTGGCAAACAGACCATGACGAGCGTGGAGCAGGAGGGCGAGAACTTCTCGCCGTCGACGAGGGAGAATTCCATCGCGGCGGGGGCTGGATCGGCGGCTGCCGCGGTCGGGTCCGAGGGTTCAGCTTGCGCCGGAAGTTGAGGAACAAGCGAGACGAGAGTCTGAGGAACAGAGCGGAGGAGCAGAACGCAGCCCTTGGCTGACTCGTTTTGGGCCGAGTCTTCCGAGTCTAGTGGGTCGTGGACTTGTACCTTCCCAGGCTGGACTACACGAAGAAAATTGTGAGAACTTGCGAGAGTGGCCCAGCCCACGAACCTCCTAACCGAGGAAGTGTGCCGCATTCTTTTTCACGAATACGCAAGAGCTTGCCTATCTTTGCATTGATAGCTTTTTTTTGGGGGGAAAGGGTTCTGTATTAATTAACCCGAATCAGTATGATCCAGTGCACACAGTTTTACAACCCTCTCAAGACCCGACCGTAACCGACCGTCTTAACCTCAACCCTCCTAATCTTAGCTAGTTCATGGCTAACAAGATTACACTCCCTCTTTATCGCCTTAACCTTAATCTGTATGTCCCCTCTCATCATAGCAGAGATCTTCTTGACAAGGGTAGTGTACTGTGATCTATCAACCAAGGGGTTGGAAATCATCGTAGCAGCTTCAACACTATCCGTTTCAACGGTGAATGGGAGTGAGCTCCATTCTAGCGCCAATGCAATTCCTTCTTTGCAAGCCTCAAGTTCCGCAGCTAGTGCATTATCACATGTGAAAAGATGTCGGCACGAGGTAAAGATAATACCACCGAAGCTGTCACGGAGCACCATGCCGATGCCCCCATTTCCCGTATACGCCATATAGGATCCATCGACATTTAAAGTAAGCCACCCAGGCTCAGGTGACCGCCAGCCCACACACGAATGCTTGTGCACAGAAGCTACATTGCCCCTGTTCATGCATGTGTGTAGCTCGTCATGATTCATGCTTATGCACAGTGCACCGTTGTTGTTGTTGTTTCCCAGCGTGCCGCTGTGCGTACTCGTGCACAACGCTCCGTTGTTTCTTTCGTTTCCGAGTGCGTCGTTGTTGCTGCTGCAAGGCGCCGTCCTTAGTGCCGGGTCCATCAGAACCATTTTCCCCTTCCTCTGATCATCCTTAGGGAATTGTTGAATGCAAAGTAGCGACATCAGGTAGCTATGCAGGAACCGTCGAGAGGCTTCAGTCGGTGGAGGAATTTTATCATGGGTGATCTTGTTGCGGACGTGCCACGTGCGCCACATGGTCATCAAGAGCACCATGCGGGACGTGTCCGAGAGGGGCTCAAGCACATCAAAAAGCTACTCCGGGCTTGTGTGCCGAACTGACTTTATATCCGGGAGCTTCCAATCCTTAGCCATCGCCCTCCAAAGCTCCATCGCACGGGGGCACCTACACATCGCGTGGAACCCATCCTCGCGTTCCAAACCACACAGGGGGCATATGTCAGTGGTCTCCAAATGACGGGAAAACTTATTCACCCATGTTGCAAGAGAAT